TCAGGCATAGGTTAGGGGTTTGTTCCAGGAGTGGGTGGGTGAGATTCTGTGGCCTGCGTTGTGCAGGAGGTCAGACTAGATGATCATAATGGTCCCTTCTGACCTTAAAGTCTATGAGACCTTGGGTCTGATTTGCAGAGGTGCTGCACACTCCCAGCCGTGACTGAGGTCAAGGGCAGCTGGGCTTTGATCATAGACAGAGCTATGGAAATGCTAAGCACTCTGGAAAACCATCGCAAATTGGGCATCCAGAATTAGTAGACACTTTTTGACAATTTTGGCCTTAAATCTCTGTCTCTCAGTTCCCCAGCTGAACAAAAGGGATGCTAGTGCCTCCCCACAGGGATTGGGTGTGGAAAAATCCATTCATGACTGCGAAGCACTCGGATACGATTAGTCCAAGTGCCCTGGAAATGCCCAAGGGGATGTAAAGAACTCTTCAATAACTCCCCATTCACTGACAGTGGTGCGGATCCTGTGGAGAAATAGTCAGTGATCATAACATTAAAATATCATTAAAGCAGCCATCCCCCAACTGTGGTGTGTGCTCCCCTTGGGGGCGCAGAGATCTTCGGGGGGTGCGACTGGGGTCCAGGCCAGCCCCGGAGAGTGGGGGCAGGGAGAGGACACCACCCAGCTCCACTCCTGGCCCTGCTCCCAGGGCCCCTCTGCTAGCCCCCGCCCCTGCCAGTCCACAGCTACGGCCCTGCTCCAGGCCCCCCGGGAGCGGGGGCGGGGGAGCGACAGCAATGAAAAGTTTGGGGACTACTGCACTTAAGGTTGTATCAGGGCCAGCACTTCCACTAGGCGACCCTAGGCGGTTGCCTAGGGTGGCAGGATTTGGGGGGCGGCATTTTGCCGCCCTCAGGGGAAATTCGGCGGCGGGGGGTCCTTCTGCTCCGGGTCTTTGGCGGAAATTCAGCGGCGGGTCCTTCACTTGTGCCGGGACCCGCCGCCAAAGTGCCCCGAAGATGCAGAGCGGAAGGACCCCCCCCGCTGAATGCTCAGAGGAGGAGCGCTGACGCCTAGGGTGGCAAAAACCCTGGCACCGCTCCTGGGTTGTATCATAATGCAAATGCACAAGGGGGCTGAATTAAGGTTGCCCCTGAACCTGCCCCATTGCCCCCTCCCTGAATCTCTTCTCTCCTCCTACTGTGCCCAGCTCTGCACCCCTCTTGCTGTGTCTTCCTCCTCCATGCTGGAAACCAGCAGGGGGACCACAGAAAGCACAGGAGACATAGTGTTCTCCGTTTCGCACCTAGTTGCTGGGAGGAACAGTTGAAGGGAAAGTACTGGTCAGCTCCAGCAGCCTTGGGCTGGAGCATGCTCAGTTGCTCCGTGGGGTTGGTGCATGTGCAGTCTGGTCACATGTAGGGGGTGTGAGGAGGGGCTGGAGCATGCTCAGTGAGGATGGAATTTTTGGCGATTTTAGTTGTAAAACTCAAAGTCTCTACTGAGCATGTGCAAACTGAGATTTTTAAGACGCTTATAATTTGCTCAAAGTTAGGTTTTTTTCACAGTGGTGGCAAAAGGCACCTCCCTGACCTCAGGGTGGCTGTCTCACTAAATTTTAAGTCCTTGCTCCAAAACATGGAGGTGCTCGAGCTTCTCAAAGAGACTGTGGAAAGATTTTTTTTTAACATGAGCAAAACAAGGTATTGTTCCTTAATTTCATTCTCAGAAAATTCTAAACTGTTTTAGTTGTTTTGCCTCAGGGTAACTTTAAAAAACAAAACAACCTGAGGCAGAGGCCCAGCATGGGAAATTTCAGCCTGAACAGTTGAAGTTTGGCAAAGTTATAAGCAACTGAAAATAGGGTCTTGTTAGGAAACCTTAACCATAGATGGTGCCACCAGCCCAGCCTATAATGTAAATGTATCTACCTTCAGAGTGCTGCAACAAGGAGAGTAAGTAGTATCATCCCAGTTTTAGAGTGTGAAACTGAGGCACAGAAATGAAGTGGAACAGAACCCCAACCCCTCCCATTCCAACTGCTACAGCACACTTCTGTCCAGAGCCAGGACTAGAACCCAGGCATCCTGATGCCTAGCTCCCCCTGCTCTAACCACTAGACACCACTCCTCCCACAGAGTTAGGCATAGAACCCACGAGTCCTGGCTCCCAGCCCCCCTGCTCTAACCCACCAGATGCCTCTCCTCTGCCAGAGTGGAGAATAAAAGATTGTATCACAATAATGCATATGCAAAAGGGGGCTGAATTAAGTTTTTACAGGGCCACCTTAACTGTGGCATTTCCTAAGTTTTGACCAAGTGACTTAGCAACCTTACTGTTCTTTTAAGATAGCTTTTGTGTATGATATATATATATATATATATATATACATATATATATATATATATATATATATATATATATATATATATATAT